GGAGCGAACCTCCTATGCTTGCAATGTGGGTATGACTGGTGGACTGTGGGAGGAATAGTTCACTGGGCATTTTTTGCTGACTGAGATCTATCTAGGCTATGGTACCCCAGTTATTTCTTCTTCGGTTTTCTCTATTTTTTCAGGGACAAATAGGACTGAAAAATCAGTAATAAGAACGTTCGGATTTTATACGACTTTTTGAGACTTCATAGCTCTTTCTATTGCAGAATACGACCCCAATACGATATCATACAGTACCTAAGATAGCAGAAAAAAATGACACCGCCTCAACTTCATTCAAATCACCCGTATTCCCCTGATAAACCTTCCCATGTAGCACTTGTCACTGTTATTGGCGAAAGACAATCATTGAACTACATAAAATGTAGAATAATTAATTAGGATTTGGATGTGCATTAGAATCGAAGGCAGCCGGAGTTGGAACCTTCGCTTCCAGGGGCAAATTCCACGGTAAAATTGGAATTTGTTAACGCTGATGATATCAATCTGTATTTACAAGGCTATTTAAAATTATAAATTATTACCCATCCACGAAATTGATGTGTTACGCGATCCACTTTTTGCCAAGTAAAATATTGGCAGTACATTTCTCCATTTGTCAACTTGGATCAAACAAATCAACTCCTGCAGCTCCAACTTATCCACCTAACCATTATGAAGACACACTAAATCCTACCCTCTTCATAAGTGCCAATCAAAATATAGAATAAGTATATTTGATTTTTGACGCTTTCATCCTGCAATAGGGCTAAGATTCTTAAAATGGGCGGTCAGCGGTCCAAAAAGAGGGCATCTTACAGATAACTGCGGAATAGATTGAAAGGGGCAAAAGAAGCGAGATGACATGGTGCGTTAGTTATATCTGGAGGTGTGAGAACAAGACGGCACCTTCGTCAACACTATCACCAATATCACTGACTTCGAAGACAATGCCAAATTGATAGAACGAAAAGGGATGAGATTTCTAGATGTGTTCGCGAAGGTCTACTTGCTGGAGGTAGCAGCAGGATCTTCAGGGTTCTCGAAGGGAGCGGGCAACTTCTCCTCCCGTGGCTCCACGCCCCAAATGTCGCGAGCGTACTCGCGGATGGTGCGGTCAGAAGAGAATTTCCAGGAACCCGCAATATTTGCTAGCATCATTTGTGCCCACTGCTTCTCGTTCTGTGAAACCAAGGTAGACGGATGAGATTTAGTCAACTGAGAAGTCAAGAGAGAAAATTGTTTTCTTCTTCCTCCTTTATCATATTTTTATTCCTTCGAAATCCCCTGGATGTGTTAATTATACACGCACTACTCCTTCATGATCGGCTGACTGAACGACGGAAGCGAAGTAGCTGGGAGCACTTGTTCAACGCAGTCACACCTACACAATTAATTCTTCTCCACTTCTCACACTTCATCCATCCGCTTCCATATCTGCCTACCAAATCACAACGCCAACAAATAGTGATAATTTCTTCAGCTTGGGTTTTGCCAAAGTGGCTTACTAACAATTCTCTTTTCAACGGATCCCATTATTTCTTCTCCCTAAATTCAGTTTCAAAACGTCTGCTTCACTGGATTCAGAGATTGCACAAAATAGAAGGGGAGAATTAAAAGACTCGACTTACCCTATAGGCCTTATCGACATCAGCTTGAGCTCTCATGTAGTCGGCGAAGTCAGCGCAGAGCATGAAGCGGTCGCCAAACATCATGGTCTTGTAGATATCTTTGAAGAGATCCGGCTCTTCAGGTGAGAAATATCCCTGACCGATTTGTGACAGAATCAACTTGAGCTCTGGACAAGCATCAATGTACGCCTGTGAGTCGTACCTTGAGGCATGGGATGAGATGAATGTGAACCAGTTCTCAAATAATCATAAATTTTGCGGAAGCATGGAGACTATAGAACTGAAGTCGACCCAACCAGCAAACTAAGAGGGCATTTTTTGGCAAATGATGCTATTTGTACGTCTGACTCGATGACGATTCAACATTCTGAGATTTTACACCATCGTCTACAAGTCGGTCTGGTCATGTGCGGATTTCGGTCTCGTTGGAACTTGCGAAATGCATGCAATTGTTTACATTCATCAATCTTTCGGTGCGTCACTCTTCACTGCGTCCGGGTACCACAAAAGCGGCAGGATAAATATGATATATGCAATATGGATCGGCATGCGAAATTTGTTATGACATTTGGTGAAGGTGAGTCATCAGAAATTACCATCCAGAAATGACTTAAACAATCTAACTTTAGCAACGAATCCTTCAAAGATGTGTAATGAAGAAAGATATAGCAACACTGACACACAACTTTACAATTAACTTGTTAAGAATGCTTAATCTCGTCTAATGGGAGTAATTAAACATTTGCTTTGCGCCGACTTTAACCGAGACCTGAGTAAATGGGCCTCAACAATATTTATTGACATCTGATGGCACTACGCTTCGTAATTTAGGTAGTTTGAGAAGTAAGTAGTGGGCCGGCTTGTGATTAGAAACGGGTTTTCAATTTCAACGTCCATGAAGTGAACGCTCGTCCTCATTAATTATAGCCAAGTTCTCTACCCATTACCCTCCAACCACACACAACTAAGAATGGCACCTGGAATCTTGTACCATTTCTTCCCCAGCCGACTATGCTTGCTTTACGAATGTGATTGACGGGCTGCAAGGGGAATGGTCCACTGGGCATTTCACGTTGACTAAGATCTGCCCAGAAAATAAAATCCTGGGTTATTTTTTCTTTTCTTCTTCTACAGGTTCCACTAGGACTAGTAAATCAGTCTTTCTCCTGTACAATTCGTCAAGACCTCATGCCTCATTCTGTTATAAAATGCAGCCTCAGTGAGGTTTCATACTGTACTTGAGCGTGGAAAACTTTAAAACATGTTCACATAGAGGTAATGTAGGACTGTAGCCTGCTTCATGAAAATTATTTATAAATAAAAATTTATATGAAGCTTGAGAAGGGTGACGATTCTGGCTTAGCTGCCCCGACAGAATGGAAAGTGTAGTTTGAGTTCAGGAGACTATCCACATTGGAATAAGTGGCCTACCCTTTGCGATTGAGCTCCTTGACTTCGTCTACAGTCATGCCAAAGATGAACATGTTCTCTCGTCCGCACTCCTCAGACATCTCAATATTAGCACCGTCCATTGTGCCCAAGGTCAGTGCCCCGTTAACCTTAAGGCAATACAAGCAGTTTACAACTATAAAAGGGAAAAGGCATTTGTAGACGGGGAAGGTTTGATAATTGAGCGTGTTGGGGCACCAAATGATTTAATGGAAGCTTTTTTCAAATGCGCAGTGGATGAAAGGTTTTCTCCTTACAAAAACGGTTTCAAAATGGATGCATTAACGACTCTGATTTCACTGTAAGAAAAATTAAATGGTTTTAGAAATCGCCTAAAAAATTGCATTTCTTAAACTAATCCCTGGTACAATCTATCATCTCTCCCTGAAAAAATAAAAATTATTCAAGACCCCCCCTTCGATCGGAGCATGCATATCAGGCAGCGAAAACTAGGTCTCGGTCACTTATCATACCTCTATTTCTTAATTATGTGTTTCACTAATTGTTTTGTATCAAGAAAAGATTATAATAATCACGGCAGATTGGGGAGAGAATCGAGAGAGTAAGAAAGCATCTCCTCCTCATCCATCCTCAAGTATGATCTGGAAGTTTATGCTACTTTGTGAGAAGAGAACGTTTTCCCACTAATTTCCGACTGACTGTCTTCCGGTTGTATCAAGTTTTATTGTACAGGTGGATCCCACCCATAATTATTGGAATGTCTAATAGACTATTCTACCCACAGTCCATCAATTATACACATACACATGAAGCATAAGTTCCCTTCAGGGATAGTGGTGTTTGGCCTAGAAGAAGGGGATGGTGACACAGTCAGTGGACTGTTTCAAGGGAAAGTAACGATATATCATTTGGCTTAATGCTCCCTGGAATAACAAAGTTATTTCATGCTGCGAATTTTGCAATCAGCAAACAATAAAAAAACGTCAATTTGATATAAGATGAAAGGGAAGGAGAAAATAAATTGATAGGCTTTTGAGCTTTTGTTTGCTCCCTGTTGTTTAATATGTGCATGAGATCCATTCATCGGACTTTCACCTCCACTTTTCATCCCCATTTGATAATGGATATTTTATTATGACCGCAAAAAAGAACATGATGCATTCTTTATCACCATCAAGTCTTAAGTGGTATCGAGTTAATCTCCATTCGTAGAGTAAACAAGCTGTGATCATGTCAGGTTCAACCAACATTTGATTTCGGTTCAAAATAATCCAAATATAGCAGAATAGAGGACATTCTACCAAAGATTGAGTGACGCAAATCTCAACTCAATAATGCAGGATATAAACAATCGCAGTCTGCTAGTGTCTACCATTTAAAACGAATTGGTACTGTACCGGTCCACACCAAATATCACAAGAACTTATTTATCTCGCATTTTCGACTTTTACTTTGAAATGCATCTCACGTTTTGGCGAAACGTGGATGCAGAGCTTTAGACAGTGAATGGAGCTGCAAAACAAGGAAGTTTAGAAAATAACAGCATTCCATGCTTTTAAAAATACTTCTTTATTTAAAAGGCTCCATTTATTTTTATCTAATGAAGGGGTAAAGTTAAAAACTAGAAAGAGGTCTAGACTGCACGAGTTACTTTAAGGTATATCATAGCTGCTTTTCAATCAACATCAAGTACTAGATTGTGAAAGAGCAGCGAAATATAAAGAAAAGGAAGTGAATGAATCGAATAAATGTAGGACGGGGGATCGTTCTATTTTGGCCCACTTTTACACTGGCAAAAGGAGATTTACTGCAATACTTTCTTTAAAACATACGGGAAACGCACTTAGGACCTTTTCCCCCCTATCCTCCCCCAATACCTTGAGACGCAACACTCTCCCTTTCCTCCAGCAAAGTGGGACAAGAAGGAAGAAAGAGGGGAGAATGCAGCTTACCATAAACTTCATGTTGCCAGTGCCCGATGCCTCGGTGCCAGCAGTGGAGATCTGCTGCGACAGGTCCGCCGCGGGGAAGATCTTCTCGGCCAACGAAACACGGTAGTTCTCCAGGAAAACCAGCTACACCACCGTCAACAGCAACAGGAAAAGTCGAGTTAGTCCCAGTTACTTCACATTGTGTCAAAGCGCCTCGCCCTATCGTCTGCCACCACTTCTCTACTTGACAACCTACTTGCCCACCCATCTGTCCGTGGTTCAAAGTGTCACTTGCAGTTTGTTCACCCGCCAATCCATACAATATATTTAATTGACCCTATAAGTCAGTGGGAGGTCCATAGACATTTGTCAGCTACAAGTACTTCACCAGCCACCACCCAACCATCAGAGATGGTGGCATCTTTATCCACGAATTGCATAAATAAAGTGACGAATGCATAAATCAACGAATGGTTGAATCCAAGGTGGAATGATGAGTGAGTAGTTGGAGAGATGAATGAATGAACCAATGACCAAAGTAGGTGGAAAGCAACGACACACCTTGAGTCTTCCACGCACAATGGGGTCATTGTTGACCACTTTGCCAACAGAGTTGATGAGTTTGATGATCAACTTGGCCATGTGATAGCCAGGCGCCGCCTTTCCACCAATCATTACAGTACGCGGCACCATCCTCAAGTTCGGATTCGCTTTGATCCGGTTGTACTGTGCGATCACGTAGAAGCAGTTCAACAGCTGGCGCTTGTATTCATGGATGCGCTTTACCTGTACAGCAATGAAGAAATAACCAACAAATGAACATCTTCCCTCCACCCTTCTCCTACATTTTCTCCTCTATCTTCTTCGTCAATACGTGGTGACCTTTACTTGAATTCATACAGTCTACCAACTTTACCAGTGAAAGTCGAGTTCAAATTCCTATGCAAGTTTCTATTTAACGTCTTGTCCTCGATTAGAAGTCCCTTCAGTCAAGGTTTGTAAAACCTTGCAGGAAGAGGTCTTTAGGTCCTCTTGGACAAATTTTCCTGAAAAATGTATTAAAGTGGAAGCAAAGCAGAGATGTTAAAGTGGGACTTTCCAAGGGTTGAAGCATTTTAAGCGTTTATGCCGTGCAATCCATTTCATGTGAAAAAGAAGCAGAGTCTAGGTTAATTATTCAAAATATCCACTGACGGCAATAGAGGTGGCTTATTCAAGTTGACGTCTTTTAATCCTGCAGGGGAATATCTCCCCGGTCTCTCCATACTCCTTGACTGCGAGGTCTAATTCGCAATCCACCCAAATGGATCAAATTTATTCGCGTATTTATCTTAGAATAGCATCCTTCCATTGCCACCCCGAAGAATACTACTTATTTTAAGGGCGTCTCACTCAAAAAAAAACAAATTAAATCAAAATTTTGATCTACTGACCTACGGAACTTGAATAGGACTTGAACTTCTTCAAGAGACCTTCCAATAAGCATACTTTTCACAGACCTAATAGATAACGACTTTTACACGATTCCTTTCACGTCATTTGGACTTTTTTCTAGGAAATATTTGCTAGTGAAGATTTCGAGAGGACATTTCGTGCATGAAACGAGCCACTTCTACGGCAATAGACGTGAGCTCCACTAAAACAGAAGGCACCAACTTTGTCGAAAGTCAAGATAGAGAGTCAGGAGCAGGAATTTTACTTTCCATGGAGGCTAGAAAGACCTGATTTGTACATCGAATGTACAGAGTTGGAATGGTTTTAACCAACACCTGTTATTTAATAAATTCTTCAGAAAAAAATCAAAAGAATATAGAAGAAATGGACAATATTATGAAGGGTTTAGTCTGATGAACTTTTAATTGAGTTAATTAAAATATCAAACAAATAAACTAAGCAAACACTTCAAAATATACTCATAGTTTACCTGAAAGTCGAAAAGAGTGGAGGGGTCAATCTTGATTTTGTAATGTTGCTCCACGTAGGACGCGAATTTGGCCTTATTTTCACGTTTGATGCGCATCAGATTTTGCAGGAATTGGATGTTATTTGAGAGGGCAGTAAGATCCTTCAGCTTTTCAAAGTTAGTGATCCAGCTATCATCTCCTAGGGCATCCATAATCGCGTCAGATAGAGAGGGATTACACAAGAGGAGCCAACGTCTCGGTGTGATACCGTTTGTCTTGTTTTGGAATTTTTCCGGCCACATCTCATAGAAGTCGTGAAACCTGAGTATTAAATCAACACCGCTGCCTTCTTGTGTTCAATTCAAACGACATTGAAGTCATAAATATGGAAGGGAAACGTACACGTCATCCTTGAGGATTTTGGAGTGAACTTCAGAGACACCATTCACGGCATGAGAGCCGATGATGCAGAGGTAAGCCATATTGACGCGTTTTTCTCCATCCTCCTCAATTATCGACATCCGCCGAAGGCGATCCATATCACCTGGCCACTTTGTAAGCATCAGCTGTGTTAGAAAGGAAGAATGGATAGCCGTTACTCAGGAATCCACCCTCTTCTCCTTCGTGTTCACGTATAGTTGATAGGACTTTAAGTGCTTGGGGTTTGTGTCGTGCTAAAAAGCTAAAGTGGAGTTAACCTACATCCAGAAATTCCTGATTAATGCGATAGATGATTTCCAAGTGACGCGGAAGAATGTTTTCCAACATTGAGCAGGGCCAACGTTCTAGAGCTTCTGGAAGAATTGTGTGGTTGGTGTAGGAAAATGTGGCACAAGTAGTATCCCAAGCCTGAAACCCGAAGAGGGAGAGAATAAGCCTTCTCAGGTGGTAAATACTACTCACTAATCTTATTGTGTCGATGATCGTTGTGTGGGACTAGTGTATAATGATGAGTTGAAAGAGGCTGCTACTTAAAAAGGTAGATACGAAAGGCATTTATGTCGGACCAGGATGCTAATCCAGCTGCAGTAAGCGTTGAGTACGCAGCAATACGGGTCAGTGGTTGGCGCACATGTGGATTAGCAAGGTTAGGTACCTTCAATCAGTGTCCGAAAAAGGTCGCAGTGCATGCGGTTACGAGGTTTATCATGGCCCAAAACACAAATTTGTAGACATCTATCCGTACAAAACGCATCGAGCACAGTTTTTACGGTGACAGAAGGCGCAGTGGCTTGGCAGAAAAACAAAATATTTGAATGATGGAAATGGTTTGAAGATAATCGGTTACAATTCAGCGTACATTCAATGCTTTAGACACTTGATCCTGAATATCTGATCGACAAAAAACTCGTAATGTGACGAGACTGGATAAAAGACAGAGCTTTCTATAAAAGCGGTGAAAATATTCATTCCTGAGCTGTACCCGACGAAGTAAAGCTGCCTGTCTCAGGATGTTACAGCTGCAGTGGCAAATCTCTCTGTTCTACTTTTCAAGTAATAGTTGAACGCTGGGGCAAGACCTGAATGTAACAGATAAATGGATACTTTTTTGATAAACATCAAGGTTTCAGTTTGACTTGAAAGTTCTTTGTCTAAGTTCGCTGCGCTGACCAGCAGATGGAGGAAGCTTGGGGCTCAAAACTTTACTCCTTCCTTTGGCAATGAAGAGTCACATCACATCTCAATATCCTCAAGTACAAAGGAGGAAACATCTGCAGGTTGAGAAACTGAACTTTTCAGATATAGCTGCCGTTTCAAAAGGACACTGATTTTCTAGTGGTGCAAAAATCAGCTATTAATTGTTTTGAAATGACTTCAAAGCTTGTCCTCTAACCAAATAAATACCTCCACATCTCAGAAAGCAGGCACTTAAAGTGGCAATTCTTTAGATAAGCAAACATTGAACCACCTTAGTGAATTATGCAAGAACCTCCTTATCTATGAAAAAGATAAGCCTTTTAAAAGTATAGGCAATAACGCAAACCTTTTTCCATTCCATTCCCTCTACATCAACGAGAATGCGCATAAGTTCGGGAATTGCAAAGGATGGATGCGTATCATTAAGTTGGATGGCCACTTTGCCAGAGAAGTTAGCCAAGGATCTCTGACCATGGTCAGTCACTCGATATCTTCTGATTATGTCCTAGGAAGAAAGGCATAACATGTTTAGGAAAAAAGAGTCGAAAAAAATTGCAAAAAGGTCAATTTCCTAAAATCCCATAGCTTTGGGATGAGCAGAAAAGACTATTTTGCTTCAGCAAATATAATTATTATAGGCAAGCTTTAAAAAAATTGCAAGGATGTTTTAGGAATAAAACGCACTTGAAGCGTGGCAGCCACAAGAAAGTACTCCTGTTTTAGACGCAGTTCTTTACCCTCAAAAAAGTTATCATTAGGATAGAGAACTCGGGAAATATTTTCTGCAGTATTTCGCCCAAAGACAGCCTAAAAGTGCGAAAGCAAAAAAATATATAGAAAATAGAAAAACAATCAATTTAGAGGTTGAAACGTACATCTATGTAGGCACCGGTGTTAAAAATTTTAAGATCA